GGGTTTAGGGTTTAGGGGGTTGAGGAGGCGTGCTGCTTGGGGCTGGGGGGAAATTCGTTCAAGGGCTGCTGTAGCAACAGCACTGTAGTGGTTATAAAGTTTTTGCGGTTCTCGGGTTTGGCCGTAGGTTCGGGTTTCGGGTCTGCGGGAACAAGGCGGACAAAATTTTGGGCGGAGGGCTTGGGTTTTCGGAGTTTCCGGCATCCACCGGTCTCGACTTGAAGCTGAAAGCTCTAAAACTAAAGCCCTACGCCCTGACTAAAGGCCTGCGGCCCTAAGCCATGAAACGCATAAAAACCCTGATGGCCTTAAACCCCAAAACCTCCATTCCATCGAAAGGATGCCCAGGACTTGTAGGGCTTCTGGAATGTTACTTTAGGGTTTAGGGTTTAGGGTTTAGGGTTTAGGAGTTTAGGGTTTAGGGTTTAGGGTTTAGGGTTTAGGGTTTAGGGTTGCACTTACGCTGCATTGCGTCCTGGTTCTGGGTCTAAGGTCTTCAGTCAGAACTCTTCTTTTCCATAGCATAACGATAATGAAGAACCCAAAGACCCATGCTTGTACTTATATTCGGACAGTAATAACACGGTTTAGGGTTTGGGGTTTAGGGTTTGGCCGCGAGATTCAGCAACTTGAGCTTCAGGCCCGAAGCACTACACGCGGGGGAGTCGGGGTGAACAGCATAGTTCCTCAATTGGCTGACAAGATGGTCTTGTGCTAGGCTCCGGATGAAACTGGTATGCCACTACACCAGGAAACTCAACAATTTAGAAGAAAGCTGCACCCCTACAAACGTCCCGGCAGCATACCCTATGAGCACTACTTAAAAATATCCAGACTGGGTGTCTCAAGTGCATGGAAGCTGCAATCCTCCGCGCCACCCTGCCTTCGGCGAGTTCCAGCTTCCCAGTTGCATATATGCATGCACATCACCGTCAACTTTACCGACAGCAGGGTCTTTATCGTCATGAGCACCACCTGCATCATCGGCAGCATCAAAACCACCACGACCATAATCAGACAATCATCGACTCTCACGGCCGCCACCGCCAAGAGCATCATGAGAATCACGAGCATCACCAGCATCAAGCAGAGACGCCTGAAGTCCCCTAGCACACAAGCGTAAGCATAAGCTCGATGCAAACAAGTGACAACAAAAACTAACGCAACACCTGGAAAAATAGAGTCTGCAATGTGTGCAAGACCTATGAAAACCTTTACGACCGCACGAAGTGAGTCTGAAACCAAGTTCAAGCGCCAAGCGCCAAAACCTATCAGACCTTAGAGCAAGCCTCTGAAATTTTAGCTAAACTCCATCAAACCCTCTTCGCGCTCGATGGGAGCACTCCCAAGACCCGCTAAAACTAGAATTGGATCCTGTAGCACATTGTACTATAACGGCATAGTGCAACTGTATAGTATGCTAGAGTATAATTGTATATACACTATGTCATGCTGCAACTGTATAGTATGATATACTCTCACTGCGCGTATACTATTATAGCATGGCCTGCTATACTAGAATTGTATAGGAACCCGATAAGGAAGGATTATTCGTGATGGTTGGAAAACCCCTATCAATACCCTAAACCCTAAACCCAAAACCCCTCTATCAATAGGCCCTGCCTTCCGCAGGGACCATTGCAGGGACGCAGCTGCTTCTGCGGCCCTGCGCATGCAGCGCCGCCATTCCTCCAAGCATTGCAAAAAGGGTTTAGGGTTTAGGGGTGTGGGGTTCGGGGTTTAGGTTTAGGTTTAGGTTTTAGGGTTTAGGGTTTTGGGTTTTGGGCCCAGGGCTCCAGTTGTAGAAACAGTAGGTTACTAACAGCATAGTATCTACCCCAGTAACCTCTTATTTCGGCAACAGAGGAGGAACTTTTCGATCAGTGTCAAAACAAGAGCACCTGGAGAGTAACCTGGAGCAACTGTCATACCGGCTATGCTGAATAGCAATGTTGATAATGATGATGATAAGGAGAGACGGAGATAGTAGCAGCAGTGTTGTGGCAGTGGCAATGACAAATATATGTGCGACGACAGTGATAATGATATCTCGATAATGTCCACAACAATTCTGATAATGATGCTCGTACAACAGTAGTAGTTCACGTGGCTGTGGATGGGGTCGCGACGGCGGTGATTGTAGCGATCGTCGTGGTAGTTGTTGTTTCAGTGGCAGCAATAGCCTTAGCAGTAGGAGTAACCGTAGCAGCAGCAGGAGTGCACCGACAGCAGCAGCCTTAGTACGATCAGTCATTGTCGGAGTGGTAGATGGCGGTCAGACTAGTCCTGGCATAGCAACAGCAGCGGCAGCAGCAAAAGACAAGTCACAATCGCAATCGTTATTTCCACATCTCCTGTTGCTGAAGTTCTTCTGATATCACCTAGAGCGACTCTTCTGGAACACCATTTCCTCCGCTCTACTGCTGGGGAGGTGTTGGGGCTTCGTGCTCTGTAGAGGGCCCAGGGGACATTCAAGCTTGGAGTTCCGAGCTGGAGAGGTGCTTAGAGGCCGAAGGGCTCAGAGATCAGAGGCGTAGGAAGGCTCAAAGATGCTCCAAGGCCAGAGACCCCTAAAACCCGCCTGAAACCTACGAGATAGGGATTTAGGGGGGTTTATAGGGTTTAAGTTTAAGGATAGGGATGTCAGAGAAATCCTGCTGGCTGCGGCCATCTGACCACCATCCTCGACCCTGCACCTCAAGCCCTGGAATACTCTGAACCCTACACCCATCTGAAATCCAAGAAAACCCTCAACCCTAAACAGTTACTTCAACACCCCAAACCAAACCCCCGTAGCCCTAAACCCAAACCAAACCGAATCGATAGCTCAAACAGCTAGCCTATGGACCTCGAAGCTACAGCCGCGAGCCTGTTGGCGGCAACGATCTCGCGGTGCCGTCTTTGGACACCGTCGCAGCCACATTCCTCCCATTTCGACCACTCCGACCTCCAGTTCTTGCTGAAATCTTCGACAGAATTGATGTTTTAGAGTCCTTCAAAGTATATTATAGGTATAATATGGTGTGTTGTAGTCTGTTACGGTAGGAAGGCGTCGCAGCTGCTTCAGGAGGAGCTGAAACTGCAGGGGCCTACGTCGCTCCCGTGCGCAGCCATCTGACATAAACGAGTTCAGGCTGCAGAGTTGGGGGCCACCCCGCCCCCTCCTAAATCCTAAATCCTGAACCCTAAACCCCAAAAACCTTAAACTCGAAAGCCAAAATCAATCCCCTAAACCCTAAACCCTAAACCCTAAACCCTAAACCCTAAACCCCTCCAAAAATGCAGAAAACGGGCCCTCGCTCTCGGGCCCCGGGCCAGACGCAGTCTGCCACGGCCACGCCGTCGTCGCAGCGGCCCAGGTTGCACCCATGGATCTCCTCTTAAGGGGTTTAGGGCTTTAGCGCTTTAGGGCTTTAGTGCTTTAGGGTTTTAGGGCTTAGGGCTTTAAGGTTTGGGGTTTAGGGTTAAGGGCTTTACTTGTGCACCCTTGGAACCAAAATAGAAATAGAACCTAACAGCCCTCAAACTTACATCACCAGCCGTAGAAAAAAGCCTTCAGTTCAGCAACCTTAGAAGCACCTCACAAACACACCCTAGAATGCCTCTACAAACCTTCTAAAAACCCTAAACCCTCAACCCTCAACCCTCAACCCTCAACCCTAAACCCTAAACCCTAAACCCTCCCTCCTTCTGATGGCCCTGGCAGCTTTCGGAGGTGGCCTCGGGCAAGGCATGCGACGGCTTTGGGTTTCAACCTGGGTCCTTCTGAGAGTAAGAACTCATGTTCCATAAGTGGGGTTTTTATAGGGTTGATAGGGGTTCCTACGAGTACAGGGATTCTTCAAAGGGGCTTAAAGAGGAAAGGGCTATATGAGGGTGTCTTGAAATTTCCAAAGTGCCCTTTTTAGGAGGCTTCGTCGATTGTTGCAGGGTGCTTCTTCAGGAACTTCATATAAGTTACCCGTCTAGGGATCTTGCAGCAAATGAGATGCCTCCTTCATCATCTTTTGGCTAGTTTAAAGTCCTTACCAGGAACCCTAAACCCTAAACCCTAACACCCCTAAACCCCTAAACCCAGCATCGGTTCGGGGTTTTCGGGCTTCCGCTTCGGATCGCAGCTTGGAGGACTCCAGGTCCAGGTGGGGAGGCTATTGGGGTTTGGGTGTTGGGTTTAACAGGGTTTCAAGGTTCAGGGCTTAGGGTTCAAAGTTGAGGGAGATCTCCTGTTTCTGCTCTAAGAGTTGTTTCCGCATCGCTGCTTTCTGGCTGCAGCCAAACATACCTACTGCGCAGGCCCTAAGCTAAAGGCCCACTTGGACCTAGTGCATCAAAACATCATGCAGTGGAGCGGCCCGAATGGCTCAAGAAGCAGAATGAGGTCTGGCAAGCATATTGTGTCATAGACGCCCTAAGCCCTATAAACAGTACATAAGGACCCTTGAAGAATAACTGTTGCCCTAAACCCTAAACCCGAGACCGCAATGTGGTTTCTCTCCGAATCCCTGCCCGGCCAAGCGGCATCCATTCGCCCAGCAGGGCGCAACTTCTACCCGGACATCGCCATGCTGCGCCCCGCGGGTTGTGGGTCTTGTCGGTGGCTTCTTGGGTTTTTGTTGAGTCTGGGGCTTCAAAGCTTAGGGTCTAGGGGTTGTCCACAAAGTCTCTAGAATCTAGAGGGAGTTCGCCCTTCTGTCTTTTGGGCTCTGGGACACACTCAGTGACCCTACAATGCACAGATCCACGTGGACTGCGTCTGTGTCTCTGCCGGCCGACGGAAGCAGCAAGCAAAGAGCAATTGCTCAAGATTCTGCTGTCAACTGTGGTTCAGGGTGTCGGATTTGGGTCCGTGGTTCCTTCTCCATCCATCCACGGAAGCTCAAAAACATGCATCGGCCAAGACAGCCATTGAATTGAAGGGTCTGGCGGTAGAGTTCTGCGGGTTGCAGACCTGTGGAGACACAAACAGAAACAAAGCATCGCAAGCGTGTGCACTCACGCGTAACTCGTAAACTAAGAAGCTCAATCTCATCTCACAGATGTTGTTCAACGTCGCTGTGCGACCCACCGTTACCGTGCTGTTCAAGCTCAGTTTCCGGGTTTGGGGAAGAACATAGCCACACAATATAAGCAGCATGCAAACAGTACAAGGCGTTGCCGGCATGCTCCCGATGGCTTCGGCCCCGACTCACAGGAGAGGAACCACGAGAGAAGCAGGCATCACAGGAAGAGCTGTGGCATGCTGAGTCCGTCTGAATGGCATAGCAACGAAAGTGACCCCGAAAAGGAGCTATCAAAAATGGAAATTCCGGCGTGAGTCTGTTTTCCTTGCTATGCCTCACAGAATGGCATAGCAACGAAAGTGACCCCCAAAAAGAACTATCAAAAATGAAGGGCTCATTGATATTCCGGCCTCAGGCTACGGGTGCTCATGTTGGAGTGTACAGGCTGATACGACCAGCTCTCAAGTAGTCTTGTTTGTTTGTAGCCGTTGCAAAGAGGTTGGCATGGGTTCATCGACGTCTTGATAGGTGCATAGACCCTGTTGAAGCCAAACAATGCAAACTCCTAAAACGTTTCAGCTCGAACCCCCAGCAAGCATCATTATTTCTAAGAGCTTCAAAATGCCACGGTGAAATCAGCGCATCGCATAGCGAGGGCATTTGAGTTCCCCCATTCTCGTGCACAAGCGGCACTCGTTCTTCTCGCATACAACCTGAAAACATGAAGTCTAAACGCCTCAACCCCAAATCGGCCCAAATCCTAAGACAAACCCTACACCCCAAACCCGGGATCCTGAAACCAGGGGCAGCTACGGCTTAGTGCTTTCGGATTGGGTGATTCGGGCGCTCACGGCTGACGCGAGGTGGTCTTCAGGCCTCGGGTCTCTTTCGAACGGTACCTCCTTGGAGCCGAGTAAGAGCTACTTCAAACAGTCTACTTCTGCCTGATCCTGCCTTCAATCCTGGGCCCTGCAACCCTAAACCCCAACCCTGAACCCCCTGTAGTATTCATGGATGATTCATGGACTCTTGGACAGCAAAAGGGTCGCGCCGGCTTCCTCCAAGTGCCGACTGCGGCAATACTTGTGAGACTGGCACGGTGGCTTGTAAGACTCTCGTCAACGCTGGGAGTTGCTCAAAACCCGATGGGACGATCTTGCAATGACTGCCTCTGCTGCCAAACCATCATGAACGAATGAATTTTCTCTAAGCATTGAGGCCTAAACTGGGTCACGAGACCTACTATTGAGAAACTCCCACAGACTAGTAGAAGCCAGCAAGTTGGAACTTGAAAACGATAGTCAAACTCCGAGTGTTCAGGCTAAAGTGTGTTGGGTTTAGGGGTACGAGCCCATATAGCACGAAATATTACACGTTAGCTTCAAACCCCAACCCCGAAATCTGGACCCCTTCACAGACCCCGGACACAAAACAGCTCTGCAAACACAATTGTAAAGACCTGTACCAAAGCCTCAAACCAAATCCTCAAAACCCAGAACCCTAAAGCCCTGCTTGAACCCTTAGAGGACCCCTGTAGAACCCTACAGAAGCTTTGCAGAACCCTTAATGACCCCGTATAGAGCCCTTATACTACAATCCTTGGTGAACCCTAAGTCCTAAGCCCCCAAGCCCTAAAGCCGTATAGATCCCTCAAAGGGACCCTTGAAACCCGAAGCCCTGAGCCCTGAAGCCCTGAAGCCCTCTAGATCCCTTAAAGGGACCCTTGAAGCCCTAAGCCCGCAAGCCCTAAAGCCCTCTACATCCCTTCAACAAACCCTTGAAACCCAAGCCCTGAGCCCTGAAGCCCTCTGGATCCCTTGAAGGGGCCCCTAGACCCTAAAGACCCCTAGATACCTTAAAGGGGCCCCAAGCCCTAAAGCCCCAGAGTTCTTCCAACTGTCCTGGCTTCTGCTGTAAGGACTCGGCCGGAGGAGTTCGGGCCCTACTGCCGCCTGTGGAGGCTCCGAAGATTCCAGAAGCGTTCTTTAGGGTTTAGCTTTTGGGGTTTGGGGTTTAGGGTTTAGGGTTTAGGGTTTAGGGCGTAGTTAGCTTTTGTTTACAGAGGGTTTAGAGTTTTGGGCCTAGTGGTTTGGGGCTAGTCCATTCATTCGGGACGGCAGGTTTAAGGAGTGTGTTTTAAGGTTGCGTGTGAGCTGAAGCATTCGAGGCTCTGCGCTATTGTTTGGGCCCATAGGCCCCGCGGGATTGCAGGCCGCCAGGACTTCGGACTGCCTAGTTTTTCAGGTCGAATCCGATTCAAAACACCACTGTTTGTCCCTGGGGGTGGAAGCTCACCTCGCCCACATTTCGTAAAGGAGTCCTGCTCTAGGTGAGTTTTGAAGATGAGAGGTGCATTTTCCTTTAGTCTTCGGGGCCGCTTGTCAGAAAGCACCGAATTAGATTCAAAACGTGCCGTGTGACGTCTGCCCCACGAGAGGCTTCTCCAAGTCCCCCTTGAGGGGAAGATTGGGCGTGCATCTGTGCAAGCCCGTGACGAAATCAAATCCTGCTCCCAATGGAAAGGCTCGGAAAGACGTTGATGAAGGCCTGGGGAAAGGACCTCTCAGTCTCCGTTACATGAAACTGCATCCAACTGCTCGTTTCGTCACGGGATCGTGCGTCTAGAACCTTCTAAACATCTGAGTGCTGATTCGCGCACTGCGAAATTTGCACAGCAGGCTCATGGAAGAGCAGGGTATATTACGGTATATTGGTCGAACGAGGTTTGGGTGGGCAGCCCCCCAAACCTCTGATGCTCGAGAGCTCAGTTTTCGTGTTTGAGGTACACCTTGTGTTGTTGACTATTTTAGGCTTCTATATCACCTTAACTTTCCACCCTCCGCAAACTCTCAAGGCTCCGAGCGAACTTTCACAACGCCCTGCTCTGCCCCGCTCAGGGCGCAGACGGCTCAAGCCTTGCACGAGACTTCGGGGTCTTTTGGGGGCTCAGGCGGGCATGGCAAAGATTTCTAGGGGTGCATACTTTGGACTTGCAGCCGATGGCCTTACAAAGCGAAGCCTCTAAGGCTCTAAGGCTTGATGGGATGTAGGGCTGAGGGAGCTCCAGTTCAGGGCTCCGTGGTTTCGCTGAACCCTAAACCCCCTAAAGACGCGAAGGGCCTCACTCTCTTGAGAAAGGAGTCTGGGAGCTTTAGTAAGTAGAATAGAGGTTTGGGATATAAATCTGGCACTGCTACTAGAAATGCAACAAGGAACCCTAGGGAGTAGTCTGGCAAGTATTTCGGGCCCTGCAGTACGATGTATTGAATTTTCTAACACTCCCCTAAAAACCCTTGACCAAACCCGATATCCCCACTGTAAGACTCTGAAAAATCCAAACAGTCTTCACAAAACCATTAGCACAAAAAATCCAAACAGTCTTCACAAAACCATTAAAACGATCATTGCACCAAGCCGGGGAAGCCCGCTGAGCCCCAACCCTCCCAAACCATACACTCCCCAAAACCCTACAGACCCCGAAATCTACCCACAAACATGCACACTCCAGACCCACAAGCCCCTGAAGCACAAAACTCCCTGCGCCTGGGGACCTTCAAAACAGCATCCTACAACCCCTTCCACACCCCCTGTAGAACCCTTCAAACCCAATATTTAAAACACCGTGATACCGCTGCTATACAAGTAGACCCCAGAGAACTCGGATCCTTGTCGGCATCCTTCAGCGCCTTGGAGAGAGAAGTGAGCTGAGCTACGTCAAGGACCAGGGCACCGCGCAAGCACGGCAGGGTTATTTTGAGGCCTCCTCCAAGAGTTCAAGGTCTCTTGGAGGAGGGGACTGAGCAAGTGTGGTGTTCTAGTTTCCATGCAGGGTTCCTGTCTGGGCTCGTTTAAGACAATGTTAGGTCTTCGTGTGAGTAGGGTTATAAGTAAGATGACTCTAGATATATTTGTTTATTATAACTCCAACCGGGCTATGTGTAACCCTACTTAGACAATCCCCCGATATATGGCTTCATCAGGGTTCTACAGGGTTTTTGAACTGATAATATACCTTTAACCCGAGAAAAAGTTCCGAAGTCCTCCTTAATCAAGCCCTCTTTTCGCTGCTGGTAGTGACTGCCTCCTCTCGAAAGAAAGAGAGACTGAGCGAAGTCCCAAACCTGGTCGGCTTAGAACTTCTAGGATGATGGGTTAAGGACTTGAGGTGTAAACAGAGTGTACGACTTGGGCCTGAACGTTTTGAGGTTTACTGGGTTTGGGGGGCCTCATTCGGGGCAATCCTCAAACTCCAGAGCCAGAATTTCAAGCTCACGACATAGATTGTAACCGCACAGTAGCCTTCTAATAGTAACCTTATAGTAACCTTGTAGTGACTATAGTAACCTTATAGTACTCTTAAAGCAGCTTTGCATTAGTCGTTTAGTCAGGGCTCCCAGCCAGGCCCGTTAGAGCCGTTGTGTGGGCGCCGGTTGAAACGGCCTGCATGCACATAAACTCTCAGAACCTTCAAGCTTTCGTTTGCCTTTCTCGCTGTGTTTGTGCGGAAGAACGTGTGGGGGAGTGGTGGACTGAAATAAGAAAGTGTGCGGATGAGGGCTTGGAGATTTAGGTGAAGGAGCTCAAGGCTTTACAAGTGCTGAGCTGGACTGCTGTCTGACATCAGCACATTATGCTATATTCTGCCTACTATACTCTACTGTACTCTACTATTATACTTTACCATACTGTGCTCCAATAAACTATATTCTCGGTCCCGAAGGTTCTCGGGACAAAGGATTTAAGCAACCCTTATCGTGCTCTTTAAACCACCCTCATAGCAATCCCGTAGAGAAAAACCTTCTAGTATCCCTATAAGTCGACCTTATGGTGCCCCTACAGTATGCAGCAACCCTGATACAGGAGTTGGGGCCGAACGCGAGCCTCTGATCCGCTGGCGGTCGAAGCGCCTGAGCTGTCGGTGCTCCAATTTGTTTTCCCGGCCAGTGCTCCTGCACAGTAAGCCCTGAACCTAAACCCTCAACCTGAAAGCCAAATTTCGACTCCCTATATAAACCTAAAGCCCCACATACCGCAACTCTCGACAGCTGAAGAATCTCCCTATGTGAAGCCCTTATAGAAACACAGCCATATTAGTAACAAAACTACTATGTAACACCGATACTAAGAATCACAAGAATAACAATAATAATCAAAGGGTCTCTTCTGATCTTTCCACAGTCGTGGCCGGGCCCCTGGCTGCTCCCTCTCTGCTTCCTGAGCCGAGGGGCACCGTGAGTCCAGGAGGACAACTGGAGAGGGGAGGATCTTGGTAGGATTGAGGCTTTTGGGGCTCTGAGTTGCAGAAGTGGTTGTTTTTTAGGGTCTTGGGCGTTCGGGAAGTAGGGATTTGGGATAAGTTCCAGTCAGAAGTTCGCTCCCCTTCAGCTTTGATGCTTATGCAAATCAGCTCTCCCAGAGGACTAGGAGCTCATGTCGCTGGGGTCGCGGCAGTATGGAGGGCAGCTTGAAGACGGTCTGCCACGGAAGCTTCGGGCTTACCGGCTCAGGGCTTAGAGCTGAGGGCTTACAATTTCGGGTTCTATGGCTTTTGAGCTCCAAGGCCTGAGCCTTAGGGTTCAGGGTTGGGCTTGGGGCTTGAAAGCTGTAGAGCTTTTGGGTTCAGGGCTTAGGATGTGCCGGTTTCCGACAAGGCACGGTGGATGCCAGGAGTGTCGCCGGTTTAGGCGCTCGGGGCTTTACACTTCGATGGCTTGCGGTGCTAGAGAATTTGGGCTAAGGCATATGAGATATGGGTGGAGGACTAACTAAGAGTTTTAGACAAAGGGCGCTTCGTAACCGCTCAGGCTATGTGCGTTGAACTGTAGACGGCCACGAGCCCGAAATAAAGAGCTGCCCGCCTTCATGGAGGAGAAGTAGCCTCGGAGAGGGTGGGGTTTGCCCTTGCTAAGCCGCGAGTGCACTTGAGAAACAGAAACGAAATTCAATGTGGTAGGCATGGTCTTCGCCGCCACTGACTCCGGCGTCGCTGGCAAGCACCATCATTGTCGTCGTCGCTGCCACTTTCTCGTATACTTATCATAGTCGGCATCAGGGTGTGTTCACGCTCAGACGGGTCGCGACCATTCATCATCGCCGTTATCAGCACCAGCACCAGCAGCAGCAGAAGAGTGCAGCATCGGCTGCACAGCATCAGCAGATCGAGGCAGCAGCCGCGGCTGCATCAGAAAACTGGTATCAAAGGCCACTAGTCGTAACCATGTTTACACGCCCCGCAGAGTCGTACCATAAAGGCCGGAAGCACCCGAAACCCCCCTTTCCATCCAAGGGTTCGGCCCTTCTTCCTGGTGAAGCTCTCTCTTCGGTCCTCCTCCGTCTCCCCAGACCTGACATGAAGGAAGGCAGGCAGAGAACGGAGCTAAGCAGGGCTTCAGGACCTGGGGCCTTCCGGCTCTCCACCTTTAGGGCAGGGATAGCCCCGCTAGCGGGCGCAGAAGCCGATGCCCACAAAAGTCCGCAGCTTTGGATGCTGTGCAGAGAGCCTCCTGGAACAAGGCTTCCGAGATCTCCTCGCGATGCCACGAATGCCACGTCTCTACTTCCGGGCATACCCAAAGCGAAACCTGCAAGCCCTTAACCACCAAACCTGAACGAACGTAATTCCCTTCATTCTCCCTCGCAGCCCTGGGCCCTGAAATCCCTCAACCCTCAAGCCAATAATTTGAGACGGGCAGACTCGACGGCCCCGGCCCTGCGGCAGATGAGTTAAGTGGCGGGGTCCAGACGGTGGCTTTTGGGGTTTGTGGCTGCGGCTTTGGTTCTAAAACCTTTGGTTTAAAGCATAGGATTACGGCTTAGCATTGCAAGCTTTGCTCAAGGCTCGGGGTTTTATGGTTTGGGGTTCTGGGAAGGATTAGACCCTGCTTCTTGGCAGGAAGCGCGCGATGCGCGCGGAGGGCTTGTTGTCAAGCTCTCCGAGGACTCCCGGGGCCCAGATTATGAGCAAGGACTACAAGCGGATACCATTACTGACTATGTCTCACCTGCGTCCATGCTCCATGATCATCCTGCTGAACCCGACGGTCTTTATTCAAAAGCTGAGGCTCTGCCAGACTCTACCAGCCCAACTGGCAACCCAACCAAACCTAAAACACTAAACCCAAATTTCAATCCCGAAACCCTGAACCTTGAACCCGACCCGCTGGATCCCAAACCTTGAGCCAGGAGCCATAGGACCCCCAAATAACAGCCCACAAGCTCACGCTTCAAGGCTAATTTTCCGGGCCCTCTAGGTTTCTAGAGTTTTGGGTTCTAAGGTTTAGGGTTTTGGAGTTTCGGGTTCAGGCTACACGAGGGGCTGAGGGGCCTCCTTGCCAGATCCTTCAAGGCGAGGCTGAGGTTCTCCTCGATGGACTCCTGCATTCGCCTTGGGCTCTGGTCTGGGGGTCAGGGTTTAGGGATTTGACTGGTCAGGAGTTGGGGCTTTAGGGTTTGGGGCTGGAGGGTGCAGAGGTTTAGGGGCTTGGGGTTTAGAGTGGGAATTTTGAGGTCGGCGTGTCAGATGTCGGGCTATGTCGGGCTCAGGGGGGTAAGGTGTAGGGGGTTCAGGGTCTACCGTGCATTGGGGCTTCAGGGATCCCGGGAAAGAGTTCTGTGGAAGCTTCCACGGGGTTGGGGCATCGATCTCAAGACCGAAGGGTTGAGGGTTTAGGGAACCATTCAACCCCGTTTTACCTGCCCTCTTCCCTCAAGCCTCAGATTTCCCAGTCCCTACACCCAGCCTCCTTCAAACCCTTTCCCGTGCCTTAAGAACCCCAAGAAGGAACCGACAGGACAAACCCAAAATCCGACACAAAGCCTGGAAGCCTGAGTCCCACAAATCAATAAGAGCGAGATGGCCCAAAGTCCCGACCCTAAACCCGAAAGAACATTCCCAGGTCCACAACACCACCGAGCTGACATCGCCAACCCCAGAAACCTTAAATCCCGAAAGCCCCTTAAGCAACAAACGAGTAAACCCCGTAGAACCGAGGCCGGCACTTGGAGTCCTGCATCCAGAGATGCTGCAGGATCCGCCCGCAGTTCCAGACCTGGGCGGGTGTCAGGGTTTGGGGTTAACGGCTCAGGGGCTGCCAAGGCGGTTTAAGGCTTCGGGGCTTTAGGGTTTAGCATCCGGAGTTCGGATTTGCGGAGCGCTTTGGCAGCAGCTCAAAAGAGTGCTTCGTGGTTTCCCAGCTCATCGATGTGCAATCTGCTTCGCCCACTAGACTGCATCCCCTGCCCTCCACCTTCAGTTTGGATTCAGCTTCTCTTCCAAACCAGCTCATGCGCCCCGAGTGGTCCTCGCAATGGACCTGAAACCACAAGCCTCTCTATCGAATCCAAGGGCCCGGCAATCCAGAAGAAGACCGGGAAGGAAAAGCTAATGACGAAGCCAGACCAGGAAGAGTTGAAGTTCGTCATCACCTCGAGCTGCCAGGCTTGCGGCTCTCACGAAACGGATCCCATCCCGTCGCAGCGAGAATGCCAATAGGAGTGACAGTAACACTCGTAGAGCTCATTGTCATCTTGACAAGCATCATCGATGTCGCTATCATCATTATCATCGGCATGACCATGATCATCCATCCTCGCCATTATCAGTATCACGCTCATCACGGTCGCGACCATGGCCACTGGACCATTAACCACAGCCAACACCACCACTTCATCCTCACCCCGACTAAAGCCTTCTGTAGACCCTAGCTCTGAGACTCCTGGCTCCACCGAAGGTGAGGCCGCAAACGATGATGAAGCTAACAACGCTGGTCGCAAGGATCACCTGAGTGGTCGCACGTCGAGGTTTCTGGGTGCAAGAAAAATTGCACTCGAGCGGCTGCTGTCGGAAGCAGGCCTACTGCTTAGCTTCGGGAGATGTTCATGACGACCAAACTTGCCATCGGTATGCCGGAATCCAGGTCTTGAGCTTGACAAAGCGCAAAGCCTCGAGTAACTAAATCCTGGCAGCTGCAGCGTACTCCATCTGGGCACTCCGGCCCACGAGAACCAGGAGTACTGCCCGCAGGACCAAACCTGCCATGATACTGGTTCCAGGGATCCCAAGTCTTCTTGGGTGGCAAAATCTACTCGGCAGCTGCTGTCGTCACAGTCGTGGAGGGGGTCATGGTGTTGAATGTCGAATTAAGGATGAGAGGGGCCTTGACCTTCAAGCTTAAGGCCAGGCCAGTGGAAAGGCACTTTCAAACCCCAGGGACCGCAAGTGAAGTAAACTGGCCGAGTGCGCGAGGACACCAAAAGCTTTCAGCGTCATCTGAATCTGAGAGTGCGCGATCGCCAGGTGCATCAGCCTTGGCAACCCTAACAGGCTGACAGGACCATGAGCAGAGGCATGGTTCAGTGCAAGAGAAGCTTTCGAGTGAAAAGTTTTCACCAGATGCCTTCTTCTGCATTCTTCTGCATGGGGGCGACTGCGTTCTTCGACCACAAAAGAGTGAAAGAAAGCCCTCAAGGTTCCCAGCCCCTGCCTTCGAGGGGGGGGGAGTAATAAAATGGCAGCAGACCTTTCGGTTCTACTGTCGACCTAAGATTTCATCGTCGATGATTGGTCTGATCTTTCATAAATGCGGCTGTAATTATGGGTCGTGGGAGGGTCCTTCAAAACAAGTCTGACGATGGCTACGCCATTCCGGACAGTACGGCGAACACTGCCTGGCAATCCTTCGCTTCTAAAGTCAAGCAAAGGTTCCAGCGTTCAATGTCACAGCTAGATGCAGCTAATTATGGTTGGACCTCTGCAGCCAGCAAGGAACGAGCCTCTTCCTTGCCAGAGTTCCGCTGATCTTGCAGTTTGGTGTGGCTGAAGCGCCCAGCGCGGACCTGCTCTCGAAGGAACACTACATGCAACAGGAGGCCCACGGCAGATAGCGAACAAAGCCCAATGTTGTGCGGCGTGAGGATCTCGTCCGCGAAGTCCGGGCTGAAGTGGGCCTGGTACACCACAGCCAACCAAACTACCAGAAATGCTGTCAAACGCAGCAGGGCCAGCTGCCGAAGCAGCGATGGAGAGAGGAAGGTGGTGACGTTCAGAACCAGGCTGAAAGGGACGTAGACTCCAAAGCTCACGAGGCACCTGGCAAGGCCAGCACTGTGGCCGAGCCCTGTCCAGCCAGCTTCGTGGAGCAGAGCGGTGTCTTCGCGACAAAAACGCTTTTCGGCCCACACAATCACGGAATACTTACCGCCTGCATAGCTTCCTGCTGACCAGATCATAAGATCACACGCATCCTCCAAGCTTGCGCTGAAGCCGCCCATGTTCGTATGCACAATCGCAGACATGCCGTCGTCCTTCGACTCCAATGCAAAGTTTTGCCCAGAAATGAACACGTGTGCTCTTGCAATGCACACTCTCTCACCCTTGTCTCCAGTGTGCGTGACGACGATCCAATTGCCGTCGAGGCTTTGGAAGGCGCGGAAGTGAAGGATGAAGGCGGACAGAGCTACGGCAGCGGCCAGGCAGGGAAGGCCCCACGGCCTTGTGGCCGAGGCAAAGAGAACGACGACCAATGCTGCTAGCACCTCCGAAACATGAAACATGACGATCGTCAAAGAGGACATGGGCCGAAGGTGTGCTAGCTCCTCGTGCTCGTCGATAGCCTTCTTGTCCAGGTCATGTGCCAGTAGCGAAAGGCAAGCGATGGAGAGGCCAACGCTGGCCCACTTCAAGCCGGCAGAGGCAGGGCTGAGCTCTGGCACATCGGCCAAGTTGCCTGCGACGGCCAAGGCATCGGCAGTGACCAGGAGGCTGAGAGCGGACTCCAGGCCTTCCACCATCTTCTGCCTGAGCAACTTCTCCGTCTTCACGCCCTTGCAGTAGCTTTCCACGCCCTCTGCCAGCTGTCCAAAAGTGCCGAATGTGAAGAAGTTCAGCATGGCACGCCCTGGGCGCGCTTGCTGCAAAATGGCGGACGCGGTGCCATTGAAGACCAGCCCACAAAGGAGACAGGCCATCCACAAAAAGTATTTGCGCTTCACGAAGTCGATGAGATTCAAGACGTCGAGGAACACGTCTGCAAGTGGGAGAATCGTGTCCTTCAGGAGCCCTCGCACGGCGACCCTGCGGCTTGCGGCTGCCTCCAGCAGCGGCTGGCAATCCTCCCGCGGCACCTCAATCAACTCGACCTTCTCGAAGACCAGCTCGGAGGGGAAATGGGCGAGAGCCGCCGCCGCCGAGCCGAAGAGCTCGTCGTGGCGAACGCCCGCCAGCAGCAGGGCTTCGATGGCCTCCGCCTCTGCGAGGAGGGGCCGTGCAGTCGGCATGTCGGCCAGGTTCAGAAGGAAGGCCACGGCGAGCCGACGGGTGTCTCTGTCGCCTCGGTCTCGGCGGAGGACCTGGCAGACAGCATCGATGGCATCCGGGTCTTGGAGCTTGTGGCGCAGATTGTCTGAAATGCCAGTGCTCAAGCTGCCCAACGCCTCGCAGCACCGACCCACCGCCACCCTCTCTTCTCCCTCGTCAGCCAGCGCGCGCTGCAGGGCGGCTCCCAGGCCGGGCACGGCGCCGGCTCCGAGCAGCTGCTCCTTCGTCTCCGGTGGACCGCTTGCCAGGCTTTCGAGGAGGCAGCAGCCCCAATCTTGAAAGCCTTTGGAATTTTGCAGCACGTCCAGGCAGGAGAGCACCTTCGGCACGGCCCCGGCTACCGCCACAGCCCGCTTCGCCTCTGGGGCACCCAAGCAATAGCAAGACAACAGTATTGCAATTGCAATAGCAACAGTCTCAGCAGAGGCGGCCGCTTCGAGCGGATCCGGAGCCTCGGCAAGACTGTGCAGCCGGGCCACCAGCAGTGCCACTATGGCAGCATCTTCTCCCCCAAGCAAGGCCTCGCTGGCGATGTGGTTGTTCCGCTGGGCTGCACTGGCATACAACCAACGAAGGACGTCCACGGCCGTGTCGAAGAGGTCAGGGTCCTGGCAGTGGCCTTGAATGGCAGCTCGCACGGGCGCGAGGAGACCGTGTTCCACCAGATCATGTGCCGCCTGCACCCCCTCCGCCTCCGACTCCCCCAACTTCACGATGTGGTCGCTCGCAGCTCGGCAGGCTTCCAGCTGCAAGGCTCCATCTGTCGGGTGGGCTTGCATCGCCGCGACGATGGCGGCCGCTGCCAGGTGCGGGTCTGCCCAGGAGCCCCCCTGTATGGCTTTCAGGGCTCTCAGCTGCAGCGCACCGTCTGTCGGCTGCTCCGCCATCCGTCTCAGCAGCTCCTCCACAGTCTCCTCATCCTCAGAGCCCTCGATTTCCGAGCTTTCCTCGGATCTCGAAGCCTGTTTGCCCTCCGTGTTCAGCTCCGTTGCAGGCCACAATGCAGGCGTCACGGCAGCTGTGGAGCGGCAGCACAGCATTCAGTCCGGCACGACGGCTCTGTGCTAGGATCGTAAACGTCTCCTTCAAGCTTGAGAAGCAGGATCTTGGCTGCAGGTGAGGCAACACTTCAAACTCGGCCATGATCTGCCATGGTGGAAAGCCTTTCGACACATCTGCACAAGGACGCTCCGAGCACTTGCGAGATGTTTTTTGTGCCTGAAACCTTTGCCCCCTTGAAACCTCAAACCTCGAACCCGCCCTGCACACTGAAACCTGTCTAGGCTCCGGGGAAGCGACCACTGCGTCAGGGATGGCGTGACAAACATCACACAGGAGACGACCACCTGCGAGCACACGCAGAACTTCGGGCATAGGGTTCTGCTTCAAGGGCCTTACAGGACAAGTAGCTCCTGGCATGGATGTGACGGCAGCGCTTTGAAGTGTTCTGTTCAGCACTTACCGCCGAAGGGACTTCCGGACTCAACTTCCCAAGGAATGAGGCTGATGGGGCAGCTCTTGACCGCTCGGTAGGAACACAAATTGGCTGTTAGCGGTCGCCGGTTTCGAGGTCAGGGTTGTTGCATTGCGCGGCTCCGGCTCAGAATCCAAACGGTCCATGCAAGCCTGGAGAGTTCTATCATTCACAACGGAATCATGCAAGGCCCTTGATGCTTCGAGAGTGCGGTGAGGAGGGGAAGGAGGAGGTGAAGGCAGGCATGGCAGTCGCTAAGGCGATGGCGATGGCAACGGCGGTAGTGTCGTGACGAAGATGATGATGGTCATGATGACACAATCATGAATAATGTCCACACATAATTGCTCCTAAGCAACATAAAAGAGCGTTCCATCACAACTATGACGAGCTGTGGCACAGCTGCTTTTGCCAAACGGAAGAAGATCCTGTACCGTTGGTAAACCAGCATGCATCCAAAAACCCGAAAACAGGAAAGCTGATCCCGCATTAACTGAAGTCCAGATCATCAAGACCTAACGCTTCCAGAACAGCCCGACTTGAACCAGCTCTTCAGGGACAGCCCCTGGCCAACTTAGCCTCCGATTCCGGGAGCCTGCTTGTCAAAGAAAGGGTCGGCAGCATTCACCCCTGGGGTGCTACAGTTCACCGGCCTGGGACCACTCGGTGGGCAAGAGCGAGCTTACAGGTTGTAGAGCTTGGATTCTAGGGGCTCGGGCCCCGGATTAAGGCTCGAGCGAGGAGGACCTGAACCCTTGGCCGAAGTGAACACATGGTAAAGTTGGATGCACCGTTGTCAAACTTGAAGCCCTTAGCCTGGCTACCACCGAAATCCATCCGAGGTGCTGATCGCCTTCTGAGGTCCCCACAGATGATTCCGGCTGATGAAGGTCTGTATCCGCAGCTCTGATGCAAAGCCTCGGAGTCCGGCGGGGACCCATGAGTCGAAAAGGGCCTTGACGGACGGATCAGAACGGCAGGTGTTGAGCTGAAGTGAATCTGGCCCAAGCTCCTTTCACAGCGATCCATCTAGGGATTGGAAAAACTTCATATTTAGAAGTGAAACCATCAGAGCCACGTGTGAACTACTGCAGGGCCCCGCCCCTTGCCTCGGACCTTTCCCGTGGCAACGAGCAGCTTTCGTTCTTCAAAAATAAACACATCAAAAACAACCTCGGCCTCAAACCCGGAAAGCCAAATTCTGAAGCAACCATCACCCACGACCTTTCCCAGAACGCCAGGTAGCCTCAGGTTTTATGCCAGGCACCACGGCTGAAATCTGGGTACAAGGTCGTCGAAGCCAAGAGAAAGGCCCGCGATATGCGAGGCCCACGCAATCCATGCCGCGGCTGCACTCCTCCAGGGGAAAGTCCTTGCCGACCTCGGTGAGAGTAGAAATGAAGTGCCAATGCTAAGGGTCCTGGGTCTCGTGCTCATAGAGAGTGTCGAGTGTAAGGCTTCAAAGTCCGCCGTTGAAGAGCTGACGAGACTGGGAACTCGACAGCCTGACACCTCTCAGCCTGAACTAACCCCCAACACCGCAAAGACAGAACCGGGTCTCTTGGGCCGTGGCGTGTGTCGTTGTCTGAAACACGCAAGACTCCCAGAGGTAGGAGAGGACTACAATCACCGTGAGCCGGGTGATCCTGTCATGCGACGACAAGACTACACCAAAAGAAAGAAAGCTCACACAGTGGGGACTACACAAAGTTTCGATGTCAGGCGATCTTCATGCGGGAACTCTGGTTTTGCCTCTCTCAGGCTTCTGTAGAGTTTTCTTTTAGGATTCACGTTTAGGGCATCCATCCAAGCTATGCTCGAAGCAAGAACCAAAGCAGCCGGAAAACGACAGACAGGAGGCAACCCCTTCTGCGGACTGAGCGATAAGCATGTCCAAGCCCGCAGCACTGCCCAACTGCTGTAAAGAAGGGACCAATTAAACATAGGAGCCAATTTCGGGCCGAGTGTTGCCTCACCGCTGAAGTTGCAGAAACCCGTCAAACCGTACCCTGTGGTTTCAGGAACCATATCCCACACCTCAAGCACAAGCAAAAGCCTAAACCCCAAACCCTAAACCCCTAAAGCCATAAACCCTAAACAGCGCGGAGGGGCATCATGGCTTCCCATCTAAGCGCTTTGCCATCGGACCTCAGGCTGGTTCTTGTTATGGGAGGTCAGTTAAGTAATCATACTAGGGATCTATAGCGAATAACATGGTTTCTTGATTATGGTAACTTAGATTAAACCCGATTAACAAGAACCCAGCTTAGGTTCACTGCCTCGGGCCTTCGAGGTGGAGCTGCGCATGCTGTTGCTATAGTGGTGGCATTCCGGTGGTGACGTGATGTCCCGGAACTGAACGCGAAGCCCTCAGCACCAAAAACCCTGAACAATGTAGATCATAGTGTACGTATATATATATATATATATATACATATATACATATATATATATATATGTATAGTATCTTGTCAGTTTCACAATATTTCTGTAGTATCTTGGAGTATCTTATAGTATCTTTCTTAGACGGAAAATAGAGCCGCAGGCACGCAAGCACGGCAACGCAAGCCCGGGCCAGGGCCGAGGGCTTCAGAAGACCGGAACCCGGACCCGGGGACTCTCAGCGAGGCACACTTCGTTGACTTCGATGTCGAAGAAGTATAGCCGCTTCTCACGGATGGCAAACCTCAAGCGCTCGAAGTTGAGAGTTTTGTTAGTTTTGGGCCTTCTTCTCAGAATAATGCTGGTGACCCTTCCTCACTGACCTTCTGATCCTTCACAGCGTATGATCATGCCTCTCATCACCATCATCGCAGGCCGCCCAGGAAGCTTTTTCGTTTGAGGAGCCCAAAAGGCCTCGTCGTTATGGCTGTCTCATATACTAACTTACTAACTGTGTGTATATATTTATATACATATACATATACATATACATAGACGCTATGTACTATATAATCTGGGGCACGAGCACTCCGGGAAAGAGCACCGGAAGCAGCGCAAAACGCTTCATGACGATCTCCACTAAGGCCCAACTCACGCCTCGGACTTTGAGCTTTAGGGCTTTGGGTAAAGGGCTTTGGGTATAGGGCTTGGGTTTAGGGCTTAGGTCTTGGGGCTTAGACCTTGGGTTTAGGGCTGAAGCCGTCTAGGGCCCGGCGCATTTTCGGATGTGGTGGGCTCCGGAACCCTGCACAGAAGACGGCCACCCAGGAAAGCTCACACATTTAGGGTCTAGGTTTTAGGGTTTAGGGTTTATGGTTTAGGGTGGCATGCATGTCGAAGGAAGCCGAAGCAGAGAGGCACCAGAATCTTCCTCAGGGCTGTACCCGAGAACGCCCGGATGTGAAGCAGTCAACAAGTTCCCTTCTCGATGCTTCGCAGTACTGCTCTCATTGAACAAGCCGAGCAACGGCTTCCAACAGCAATCCGGGCCGCTGGCTCATCAGAATTGCAAGGACGAACATGATTGCCTGGTACTCCAGGGAGCTAAACCTGGCGGATCAAGCATAAACCAAAGTGCACGTTAGAAACAGGCGAAGACTGGCACGATGGTCAAAAGAGAAGCGTGCAGAAGATAATCTGTGAGACGGGTCTGGATTCTACGAAGCTGTGCCAGCAACGGATCAAGCCATGACAGGACTTCGACGACACGATCGCCACATGCCTCCTTCATCCCAGGACGAGCCCAGGGGCCTCTCAAACCACTTAGGCCCTAGAAGCGTAGAAGCCGCTGAAGCCTGAGCCCCCAACCCTAAACTCCCAACAAACCCCTAAACTCCTAAACCCTAAAGCTTAATGGCTCGAGCCCTGGGCCCTGGAAGCCTCTGAATCTGAAACTGCAGAGCTTCGGCCTGGTGAGACCATTGGAGTCTCCAACGATGATGGCCATGGCCTGCGATGTCGGGTTTAGGGGTTTAGGGGTTTAGGGGTTTAGGGGTTTAGGGGTTTAGGGTTTAGGGTTTAGGGTTTAGGGTTTAGGGCTTGGGGTTTGGGGTTTGTGGTTTCGGGTTTAAGGATTAGGGTTTGTCGGTTTTTTGCGGGCTCGTTTCCAACTGCTGAGTCGAAGCCGAAATTCCCATACCGGGAGGAGCCTAGGTGATTGCTGGGGCGATGTCGGGTTTGGAGCTTAGGGTTGAAAGAGGGCACAAACCCCGAAACGCAAAGCCCTGCACCCTATAATATAACCCTCAAGCCTCAAGCCCTACGCGTCGCTGTCGCGCCCCAAAACACCCTGAAACCCGAAGCCGCAAAGGTGATCTTATCATGGCTAGCACGAACTCTGTCATTCACCGAGCCCCCGCAACTACCTCAACATCAAATCCAAGCATACATATCATATGGTATACCATACTAGAACGTCAGAACTGTTTATGTAGTGAACACTAGAGGGAATCCTTCTCCTAAGCCAAGCTGAAGGCTGTCCCATGAAGACTCTAGACTCTTCATCCTATGAACATCCCATATCTGCCACCTCTCCATGTCGCACCCCCCTAACTCGCAAGGTCTCGACCCAGAACTCTCAAGCAAAAGCCGCACGGAAGACCCCCGAAACCCTGAACCCTGATCCCCCCCAACCCGAAAACCCGAAAAAGCGAGAGGTCCTTGCCTGACTTGGCCACGCGCCCTCGTCTCTACGAACTACACTTTTCGAAACACAGCTGCGGAACTGCCGAGTTTCGGGCAAAGGGGCTCGAAGCCTTGAACGGTTTAGCGCAAGATTCAGGATGGATCAAGTTTAGGTGGACTTACCCAGGTCATCCTGGATGAAGGGCCTACAACACCCAAGTTTCTTTTACATCTCTATTCGATCTTGTATGTTCTATCCTCTATGTCACTCTACGTTATATTCTGCATTGAGCATTGCACATCCAATACTATAGTGGTCGGGGCATGTTCTGTTTCAAGACGGAAGATTGGAAATGGCTCGGCGCCGGAATCCTGATGAGCCTTTAGGGCATACTCTCTCTCTCCCTCTCTTCTCAATTTCTCTCTCTCTCTCTCTCTCTCTCTCTCGGTTGACGGTTCAGGGGTTCTTGAGTTGGAGGCTGAAAATTCGTGAGGAAGAAAGGTGGAGATGAGACTGGGGCGCCTGAAACACCGAAGTTTTTCATTGCAGTTCCGAGTTCGAGACGGAAGTGGGAAGCGTTGGGGACGAGCATGGGGGCAACGATGACTGCAAGTTCCCTTGGATCGTTCCCCCGCTTGAACTCAGCCCAAAACACCAAGTCCACAAACCGATTGAAGTCGTCACCAACAAAGGATCGCTTATAATTATAACCCTTTAACACAGCATCCGAAAAAATGGCAACCTGGAACGACGAAGACGTCAAGAGGGACCCATGAGTTGAGACCGGCCCCCTTCCCCCACTTAGGGTTTAGGGTTTAGGGCTTTTGGGCTTTTGGGCTTCAGGGTTTCCCAGACTTTGGCTTTAGGGTTTAGGGCTTTTGGGGTTTTGGGCTTCAGGGTTTAGGGTTCTTTAGGGCTTAGGGTTTAGGGCTCTTTAGGGTTTAGGGTTCTTTAAGGTTTAGGGTTCAGGTTCCGGGTTCCTAAACCCACGCTTCCAGCTTTCTCCAACTCATCTCCGACCCATCGAAGCGCGAGGCCGAGTTCAGCCAACAGCGCCCCTAACCCCTAAACCCCTAAACCCTAAACCCTAAACCCTAAACCGGGCGTTTGCAAAGCCAATGCGGGGACATCGGCGCGTTAGCGAAGGACGCGATGAATGCCGACGGAGCCTTTTTGCAGAAAGCCTAAACACGCTATGAGCTGAAGGGCATGGTCCAAGGCAAGATGCATCCGCAATTCTCTAACCCCAAAAACCCTCAAAACTAATGAAACCCTGAGATATTCCTGCGGGTCCTTTAGGCCACGCAGTCGGGATTCACGGCATCCATGGAATCATTGCATGAGGGGCACTTTGGCTCCCTGGATGGACCCGCCGGGCACGGGACAGGCCAACATTGAACACACTGAAATTCTGAAACCGTAACACCCAAACCTAGGTTTCGGGACATCTTTGAAACCAACTAACCTTCTCAAAACCCAAACTGTGAAACTCCTGCTCCCTAATCTCTAACCCCTAAACCCCTAAGCCCTAAACTCCAACCTTGAACACTCAGAGGCTGGAAGGCACGCTACCGACCGGCAGTAGGCGGCAGGAACATCGGCCTCAGAGCCGAGCACGGGTGCATGGATATTACAGAAAGCAAAGAAATAGAAAGAGAGAGAGAGAGACGGACGGACAGACAGATAGACAGACAGACAGACAGACAGACAGACAGACAGACAGACAGACGAACGAACGAACGAACGGACGTATGGATTGATGGATCTATGAAGAGGAGAGCAGCTAGCGCTGAAAATCGCACGAGCCGAAGCGCGGCGACGTTGCGGATGGCCCGCCAGTAGGAGATGGACCACACTGCAAGGCGATGGAGCCCTGGGGTGGCAGGGCCAGGGAGCCTTGTGGCGGCCGCTGCAGTGCGATGGAGCCTTGAGGAGGCAGGTTCTGTGGAGCCATGGATCCGGGTGGCATGGAGCCTTGGGGAGGCAGCTGCCTTGGCATGGAGCCTTGCGGAGGCATTCCGCAGAAGGATCCTTGAGGTGGCAGTTGTGGGGCTATGGATCCTTGCGGTGGCAAGCGCTGCGGCGCAATGGATCCCTGTGGTGGAAGGTTCGGCCCGAAGGACCCCTGCAAGGGGCCTTGTGGGTTCTGCGGTGCTATGGAGCCTTGAGGCGGAAGCCGCCGTGGCGAGATGGATCCTGATCGAGCCATGCTTTGTGGTGCTATGGAGCCTTGTGGTGGCAGCCTTTGGGGTGCGATGGAACCGTAGGGTGGGGGTTGCAGGCCCTGTGGCGAAAAGGAGCCGTGAGGGGGCAAGCTTTGGGGCGCAATGGAGCCATAAGGTGGCGGCTGCAAACCGTGCGGTGAAAAGGAGCCTTGGGGGGGGAGGCTCTGGGGCGCAATGGAACCGTAGGGTGGCGGCTGCAAGCCTTGTGGCGAGAGGGAGCCTTGGGGGGGCAGGTTCGGGCCAAGGGAGCCCTGGGGAGCAAAGCTCGGGAACTGCATGCTCTGCGGCGCCACAGAGCCTGTTGGCGGCAGCATAGCACCTGCTCTGGAGAGGAGCCAACACGACAGAAGCCGAAGCAAGCATGCCACCACTCAAGGGACTTGCATAAGAAAGACAATAGTCCCAACAAAAGGTCGTCCACATCTGTGCTTCCCCAGATCAGTTCCCGCCAGGGCCTGATCCGTAGGATCCTTGTGGCCAGCGTGCCTGCTTGACACAATACTGTGAGAAGAATCTAGCTGCACATGCTCCAGAAAGGAGCTCTCCGGGCCTGTAGCTTCGGGCTCAGGATTCAAATCTGAGGGGCTTTGGGATTCTCACTTCTTGCTCTACGTCCCCCCCTCTGTCTGAAGGGCTCCGGAAGCTTCACTAAGATCCCCTCTCCCTCCCTCAAGGTCAAGAGCTATGACCAAAAACATCTGCTTCGAAGCCAACCTAAGACGAAGCCTCCACGGCCAACTCTTCAAGCCCAAAGCCCGAAAGCCTCAGGCCTTAACCTTCGAAATCAACCCTTTTCGCAACCCTCAAACCTCCACCGAAGCTTCTTGAACTTCCAAGCCCCAAACTCCCGAAATCTCAAACCGCCGAAACAAAACTCCAAGCCAGACCAAAGCCTAAAGTACGGGCTCAACCCTGGCCCTTTCCCCCCCCAAACTCCTAAACCCGAGAAGCCTGAAGCCGTGACCCGTAACCCTAAACCCCTAAACCC